TGATATACTGTAGGCCTAGAAGCTAGGCTATACAACAATAACGCCCCATTAAATAATAACATGATGCATGTTACTCCAAACCTAACTTTCAGCTGTTGTTGAAATGTGGAATTCAAATAAAATATTATTTTTTTAGGACAAGATATGTGATAGGCCGAAACATGACACTCTCCTCACATAGGTATTTGCCAGTCATCATGATGCGACAAACATACCACAACATTTGCCATGAGTACAACCACCCAACATTGGCATCTACGAAAGAAGGTGGTACAAAGCATACAAGCACCCAGCAAGACATTAGCAAGAAACACTCTGGTTGTTTGCTGAAACTTGTAATGAAAGCTATACACACAATTTAAGGTGAGCAAAAGAAAATTAAGTGAATATCTCATCACTGTTCAGCCAGAGTACATGAAACAAATATATTGGAATGGTAAAAAAATATCAGCATGGTGTGTCAGTTTTATTAAGAAACAACAATAATACATTACACTCTAGCCGACAGGAAGGCTTCAGTCAAGTAAATAAAAAATCTGAAAATACTGTCAATTGATGAATGTCTTTTCAGATTAGTACATACAGTATCTCATTATGGTATGTTATTGATAAAGCAGCAAATGCCAATGTTTGATAACATTTTGATTTTTAACAAACCTGGTTTTGCATTATTGTAACTACTGTGTTTATTCCTCAATAGGAGCAAATGACTGGATCAGATGGATGTGATGCAAAGATCTTATAAACACAAGATAGCGTTCTCCGCGATTTTCGCGTGCAAATTCTGTAATAAGGCATGAATGGCGCCCTCTTGCTAAATGGGAAACTTTTGACCCTTGACCGCTCTGACCATAACGTACACCGCGCGACTTTACCTTTGCGCGTAACAATTAGACGCGTCGATTTACAATGCGCATCCCTTTAAAACAATTAATCAAGCTATTAACGTACTTGGTAACGAATTTTGGCGTGACGCGAACACATTACATAACGAGTAAAAAGTAAGAAACAACTATGAATAATTGATTAATTAATGAATGAAATGAGGTTTTGTGGAGGAAAATATTGTGTGGTTTGCAAGAGCAATTCAAAGGCAAATCCTGACTTTAAATTTTACAAATTTCCGAAGGACAACAACAGGTAAATAATGTTTCAATCAGCAATGTGTAATATTATTTAGGCCTAGGCCCAGAGTTTATTAGAAATGCAAATAACACAGTACAGACT